CTTCAGCTCCTGGACCTCTTGGAAGGACTGAATAACAGTTCCAAGGTCCGAACTGTAGTCCTCTGCTTATTGGGTGTTTTGAGGCATATCTACTAGGTCTCTTGTCATGGCTGAGAAGGGGATGAAGATGTGTGATACAGGAAGTATCTTTCTCAGATCCCGCAGCGACCGAAACAAGTCTAAATATGTTCAAAAGAAATCTATAGGCTAATGGGTAAATAGCGCTAGGACAGCTTCCTGCACAAACTGAGGGTCATAGGCAATCTAACTAAGCAAAGGTCAGATGTAGGAGAATCTCCTTGTTAATAGTGAAATGGTTTTGATTCATAGAAATGGAGTTACCCTCCACTGTATGACATTACTGGACTAACGTGTTCACATCAATGCAACAGGAATGAGTGGAGGAACTTCAGAACAAGAGATACAGCAAAAAACAAACTTGAGCTAAAAAGACAGTACCAGCATGGAACTAACATATTAATGACGCGACATTGTTCTAAAAGGCGCAGAGCCTCAGAAGGTATATGATCATCACAACATACAAGGTATAGGCATCAAAATGAATAAATGCCGATTGGAACTGGAGGGACCAAGAGGCACCGAGAGGTGGTATAAATGGTAATTTAGATACCCGAATGATCCAAGGAGATACAGATACGAGAAGAATTTTCTCCGGCATGAAGAAGATTCTTTGTGGCTAAGCCCACAAACAGGGGCGGCGCCAGAATTTCTGTGTAAGGGGCTTAGGGGTGAATATCTGGTTGGATGGGGGCTAGGAGACGTTTTAGAAGCAACATCGTTTTTTATTTGGGTGGTTTTGGGGGCTGAGAGAATTTCTGGGGGGCTGAAACCTTGGCGCCGCCGCTACCCATGGGGCCATACGACGCCTGAGGAATGGGGGGGGGGGTAATCAGGTAATCCAAGAGAAAGATAGCCCTAATTCCTTTAATCTAGAGCCTTTAACTGGCTTCAGTATGATAAGAATACACTAGAGGTAGGGGAGCTTAGTTCTCATATATGAACAAAGTGTGTTTTGGTTGCTAAATGATCCGAAACACACCTTATTCTACCACACCATATCCCAACACACTCATTCCAACACACTCATTCCAACACACTCATTCCAACACACTCATTCCAACACACTCATTCCAACACACTCTTTCCAACACACTCTTTCCAACACACTCTTTCCAACACACTCTTTCCAACACACTCTTTCCAACACACTCTTTCCAACACACTCTTTCCAACACACTCTTTCCAACACACTCTTTCCAACACACTCTTCCAACACACTTTCCAACACACTCTTTCCAACACCCCTCTTTCCAACACACTCTTTCCAACACACTCTTTCCAACACACTCTTTCCAACACACTCTTTCCAACACACTCTTTCCAACACACTCTTTCCAACACACTCTTTCCCAAAAACACTCTTTCCAACACACTCTTTCCAACACACTCTTTCCAACACACTCTTTCCAACACACTCATTCCAACACACTCATTCCAACACACTCATTCCAACACACTCATTCCAACACACTCATTCCAACACACTCATTCCAACACACTCATTCCAACACACTCATTCCAACACACTCATTCCAACACACTCATTCCAACACACTCATTCCACACACTCATTCCAACACACTCATTCCAACACACTCATTCCAACACACTCATTCCAACACACTCATTCCAACACACTCATTCCAACACACTCATTCCAACACACTCATTCCAACACTATATTCTAAAGTCCTGACTCCTCTAACTCAATGCAAGCAAAAAAATGGTGCAGAGTGCAGCTTAAATTTCTAATGTAGTTAAATATCAGCTTTGAAGATTTGAAGCCGGTCAGTCCAGTCCATGAGGACTAGACTACCCTCCTTGACGAAACTGTCGCTACCTCTTCCACTCTCTCTCTCTACGCTGCTGCTCCTATTTCTATCTTATTAACTTTTAAACCTAAATCCTTCCTTCTGCCCTTATGCAGGAGTGGTTCTGTGAAACGTTCTTTTTTACCACCACTGTCTCCCTGACCTAACCTCACCTGGGCATTTTCATTGATTTACGTAAAGCTTTCGATACAGTCGACCATGAACTGCTGTACTCCAAATTAACGCACTATGCTATCAGAGGTCACTCCCTCAACTACCTAAAATCATACCTTAGTAACAGAACACAATATGTGTACGCAAATGATGCAAACTCTTCCACCCAACCAATCACAGTAGGAGTCCCACAAGGAAGCGTCCTTGCACCACCACTCTTTCTCATCTACATCAATGATCTACCGAATGCGTCACAGCTACTCAAATCCATATTATTTGCAGATGATACTACATATGTCTTTTCCCACCCAAACAGTCATACTAGCAAACACAGTCAATGCCGAATTGCAGAAAATATCTGCCTGGATGATGACTAACAAACTTACCCTGAATACTGATAAAACCTATTTTATTCAGTTTGGAAACAAAACTGCAAATGATCCGATTAACATAACGCTAAATGAGCTTGTGCCTTGCTTAGTCTAGGCCAGGTTCTTTTTACTCTTTTTTCTCCTCCCCACTATTCTTTATACTTTTAACTTACCTTATATGTTAGTAGTGATCAAGTTCCCAGGACAGAAAAATCTTGTGATAAATTTGGCCTAGTGTTTTCTTAATCTTTTAAGCTGCTTATTGGTGTCAATTACTAAAGTTTATAAAAAAGGATAACCAGCAACCTTTCATTGAGATGCAACATACAGGCCAGAGGGGACACTTGTTCAAGGTTACCCGAATACCTTACAAAAAATAATCTATTAATCTTACACTTCCTCCACAACGTCAAAAGAGAGGGATACTCGTAGGATTCTTCAGAGCCTTCATAATTCTCGGTCCACAGGTCTTAGAGGAATGCGCCTACATCACTCGTGAATTCAGTTCACTACAATTTACCCTATACTTTATAGAAAACTGCGGGAAACTTACCATAGATATACTCAAAAGAGGGAACACTAATACAAAAGTAGAGGAAGTTGCCGAATACATCGTTTTACCGGTCAGCAATATGGCTTCCAATGTTTACCTGGAGTTTACCTGGAGAGTGTTTCGGGGGTCAACGCCCCCGCGGCCCGGTCTGTGACCAGGCCTCCTGGTGGATCAGCGCCTGATCAACCAGGCTGTTGCTGCTGGCTGCACGCAAACCAACGTACGAGCCACAGCCCGGCTGATCAGGAACTGACTTTAGGTGCTTGTCCAGTGCCAGCTTGAAGACTGCCAGGGGTCTGTTGGTAATCCCCCTTATGTGTGCTGGGAGGCAGTTGAACAGTCTCGGGCCCCTGACACTTATTGTATGGTCTCTTAACGTGCTAGTGACACCCCTGCTTTTCATTGGGGGGATGGTGCATCGTCTGCCAAGTCTTTTGCTTTCGTAGTGAGTGATTTTCGTGTGCAAGTTCGGTACTAGTCCCTCTAGGATTTTCCAGGTGTATATAATCATGTATCTCTCCCTCCTGCATTCCAGGGAATACAGGTTTAGAAACCTCAAGCGCTCCCAGTAATTGAGGTGTTTTATCTCCGTTATGCGCGCCGTGAAAGTTCTCTGTACATTTTCTAGGTCGGCAATTTCACCTGCCTTGAAAGGTGCTGTTAGAGTGCAGCAATATTCCAGCCTAGATAGAACAAGTGACCTGAAGAGTGTCCATCATGGGCTTGGCCTCCCTAGTTTTGAAGGTTCTCATTATCCATCCTGTCATTTTTCTAGCAGATGCGATTGATACAATGTTATGGTCCTTGAAGGTGAGATCCTCCGACATAATCACTCCCAGGTCTTTTGACGTTGGTGTTTCGCTCTATTTTGTGGCCAGAATTTGTTTTGTACTCTGATGATTTAATTTCCTCATGTTTACCATATCTGAGTAATTGAAATTTCTCATCGTTGAACTTCATATTGTTTTCTGCAGCCCACTGAAAGATTTGGTTGATGTGGCTAAACTATTTACCCACCATTCCATCATAATCACTAATTCCACGCCATCAGTCAAAACTTGTTGCAGAAGCACAAGAGCGAACCTTCTTACCATGTGGAAGATGCGACAGAAGTACGTATGTGAAAAAGACTGTCAGAGCTTCAGAAATTCGATTTCGCGATCACAAACTCGTGCAAACAGAATAACTATAACAATGCTTGGGCGCTTGTGGTCACCTGGTGAAGTTTAACGAGCCCCTACTGGTCATTCGCGACTAACGAGGAAGATTGTAGAAGTTGCTTTATAATCGCCATCATCGAAACAATTACTCTTCTTAGAGTCAGCCGCCACGTAAATTTATCATAAATACGAAAATGGAGAACTGCTGCAGCAGGCCTACTGACCCATGCTAGACAGGTTCTTCTTAAACCAACCCCCTTTCACTCGTTCACCCTACATGCAACCTCACCCCAGCTACTGGTCCCCTGGTCAGTCCACTATATAACAGTCTGCCTTAGCTTACCCTGCAGTAGGACTGATGAAGCCACTCGTGTCGATACTTCTTATTTAATAAATGTCGTTAACTGTATATTATTATCCTCGAGTTGAAATTTGACCAAAATGAAAAAAAAATATATACTTATCAATTTAAACTAAATGGCAGGCGAGTCTGGGAAGACTATCCAACCAAACGCGATCCACGAATTTTTTCTTGCTGCGTAATAACATTCAAGGGAAAGTGTTAAACCCGTAATTGTTATGCAGAGCCTAGCTCAAGGTAATGTAATCAAGTTTGATCCAAGTAGTTTGCCCGCAACCAACAGAGCTCAGGTTCAGCTCTCTTGCAAACTGAGATGTACCGAACAAGTCTTCTTGTATCTGCTGTCCACGTAGATACCTGTGTGTTAGTCGACTGTTTTGGGTCGTATCCTGGGTGGCATGACCCCCAGTCCTAGATATAAGCGACACTACATGGCTTTGTTGGGTTTTCCTGGGTTAAATAACCTCAGATATTTTCTTCATATTGCAGAAGAGTCCGGCTACAGCCTTGCGGGAGCCTGCGGTCAGACCGTCCCTTTCATCAGTTATGACGACGATGAATCAGATTTCTGGGACGACGGTGACGACAAGTTTTGAAGAACCTGATTATGAAACGTCGCTCGCTGGAGTGGTAAATATCTTCTTTCGTGAATTAAGTATTTTCAAAACAATTTTGTTTTATTTGATTATGAAAATCCGGGGATACATTCCTGCCGATTTACTTGTAGTAGTACACAGAATTGCGTTTGGTTCCCATGCGAGAAGAACCAGATTTTTTTTACAATGGAGTCGAGACATTTGGATAAGGTTTCTACACTTGCTTTCTATGTTCACTTAACGCAGATGCTGGTCATAAACTTCTCCCCTTTCTGTGCTTTAAGGGTATCTATTTTTTTAATCTAAGGAATTGGACGTGTTTTTCCCTTCCATAGACATAACATGATTGCCTCCTATTCCTCAGGAGTTGTATGCCCCGTATGGGTTTAAGCTGTTCCCATAACACATTAATAATAATCACCTAACAGTTAATAAATACATAGGTGTTGGTGATATTTGTGTTCGGATTTTTAACCCGAAGGGTTAGCGAACCACAACAGTGCTACTAACACCCAGGTACCTACTTGCTGCTAGGTGAACAGGGACAGCAGATGTAAGGAAATATAACCAACGCTTTATCCGTGCCGGAGAGCGATCACCAGTCCCTTTGTGTGAGTAGAGGCTCCTACCAACAGAGCTACAAGTATCCTTGTTGGGTGGTATCCTTTGACAGTACCCCCAGGATAAACATTACCTGGCTTTGTGATCATGTGGAAGCATTAAACCCTTCGAGGTCATACATCACCTGTGTGATGGGAAGCAATCAGGCTCGATTCAAGGACAGGAAGAATAAGTACAAATCATTTAAGCAAGAAGTCCCTCGCCTGTATCAAGGAACCTTCCTTGAGAAGACTATTGGCACTGCTGGGTTATTTGGGAAAATAGTACTTTTGGTTAATAATAAAGTTATGCGCTAAACCCGATAATTTTGGTTAATGCGTTTTTCTCCTTTAATGAACAACAAACTGGAGAGAGAAATAATGTAAAATACCAATAATAAAGAATCTCTCTACAGAATGGAGAACAGGATCAGCGGAAGAAGCAACTAAGGGAGGCGCGGCTGAGGGAGATGCTAGCAACAGAACAAGAGTATGTGAGAGACCTGGAGACCCTCCTGCTGGTGGTCAACCTTACCTCAGCCAAGACCAGCTTCCGCGCTATTGACTTCAGTGTGCTCCTTGGCAACATTCAAGAAGTTGGTTTGAATTTTTTTTTTATTTTATTTTTTTTTTTTTGCGTACTGTGAATCTCGTATAACCTGTAGTTACCAGCGGTCGCAATATACATAACGAGAAGCTAATATTACTACAGAAAAAGCGTCCTTCCTCCAAAATTTCCACCAGTCAACTATAGTGATAATATAGCATTTATTGTGGTGGAGACGGAAAAAAACTAGAAAAGCTAGATACAGTGATTGATAAACAAGGGTTGAGGTCGACCATTCGTCATTGTAGGAGCTGCCAGCAATCACCGGTTCTTCAACACGCAAGTTATACTTTCTGTTTTAATCAAATCGCATATTACTCGGGTAGATAACTTTCAGTAGATCCTTCATGTGTTAGTCCAAATCACCGACCAGTATGTTTTAAATAAGTGACCCACTGATCAAATCAGACTGGTTCCGAACCCTCGACTGGTCCGAACCCTCGACCGATTTTAAATGGTTTTGTTGTACAATAAAGCAGACTGTAAACGGATGGGGTTGTAGGCGCCCTTATAAACACAAACAAATAAAAAACAGGAGCGTACTCCGGTAAGCTGTCCTAACATACAAGTACACTTAGAAATAGAAATACAAATAGCTAGAGCTTCACTTTAAGGAGGTTATTAATAGAGTATTCAAGAGGGTGCTAGTAGAATTACAGTAATTCAACCATTCAAATCATTATGAAGCCCTGTGTAGTCTGCAATCAAACAAATGGGCTTCCACATGGATAAATTGTTATTTTTGTGGAAATTGGTGTCACGCCCCTTATGCAAATATCCAAGAACTAGCTACAAGAAGTATTAAAACAGGGAAGTGTTTTTGGGTATGTCCAAATGAGATAAATCTGTGGACTAATATCACATTGGTATTAAAAAAGGATAACATCAAAGCTGCTTTCATAGACAACCTGGAAGCTTTCTACAACAGATGGGAACATAAAAAGTTTGGGCTGGATGGTACTGCCCTTGATGCTGGTCATGTAGACAGAAACTGTAAGGCTGGAGGTGATGTCCTGGTTGTCAGTAAATGTGGGGCTGATAGTGCTGTCCTGGTAGACAGTAATGGTGAAGCTGGAGGTGCTGTCCTGGGAGACAGTAATGGTGAAGCTGAAGATTTTGTCCAGGTAGTCGGGAATTGTACACAGGATGGAATGCATATAATTGACCTCATGGGAGACAGGAGCCGTAGTGGGGAATCAAGTGTAGTCAAAGATAAGATAAAACCAATATTGCAAACTAGAAATACCACAGGAAATAGCAAACAAGAGGACTCCACTAGCAATAGTGAGGATATATTACCAAAAACAACTGGTGGGAGCTCCTTTGTTGGTGCTAGGGAGGATAGGAATAAGACAGGTAAACATGCACCAAAAGGGAATACAGTCACAGAAACCCAAGGCAAACATGCACCAACAGGGAATACAGTCACAGAAACCCAAGGCAAACGGAAACCAAGCCTGTGCACATACTATGCACTTGGTATCTGCAGGCATGGGAAATCTGGAAAAACAGATGGGACGTGCAACTATGACCACCCTAGAAAATGCCGTGTGCCCATATGACAACAGGAAAATGCAAACTCCCTTCCTGTAAGCTTTTTCACCCTGAAATGTGTCCCTCTTCAGTACAGGAAAGACTATGCTATAACTTAAATTGCCAGGCACACCATCTAAAGGGGACAAAAAGATACAAAACATCCAGGCCATGGGAAAACCTGGGTAGCCACAGCCACTCAAGAGGGAGAGGTTTTTTAGTGCCAGGAAGAAAAAAAAACTGGCAGGAAATGGCAGAAATCGTACACCAAATCCAGTCATTCCTGGAGTGGAATCAAAGTCGATGGCCTCCACTCCAAACCAACAGATACAGATACTAATGCCGGAACCCCCCCCCCCAGTACCAACAATACCACCAGTCCGATGACATTCTTTGCAAATACACAGGGTCTAAAGCCAGCAACAAACAACAAAATACCTTTCATCCGTGGACTGCTTGCAGAGGCAAAGGCAATGTTCACGGCTTTCACTGAGACCCACATAAAGGATCACTTGGACAACGAAATATGGATCCCAGGTTACAACCTATACAGATGCGACAGAGCGAACAGGCAAAAAAAGGGGGGGGGGGTTGGCCTGTACATTGCAGAGTTACTTGTGTGCATAGAACTACTGAATGCCTCAAATGATGTAGTGGAAGTTTTAGCAGTAAAGATCGAGAACCAAAACCTAGTCATTGTGGTAGTCTACAAGCCTCCGGATGCAACATCCCAGCAATTCCAGGAACAGCTGTTAAAAATTGACCACTGTCTGGAAAATCTGCCAGCTCCTGCACCCAACATCTTGCTCCTGGGGGATTTCAACTTAAGGCACCTAAAATGGAGGAATATAGCAAATAACACTGTTGCAATAATAACACCAGGAGGCAGCTCTGATGAAAACTCATACTCACGCGAGCTTTTAAATCTCTGCACAAAATTCAATTTAAACCAGCAAATAATAGAGCCTACTAGACTGGAGAATACACTAGACCTCATCTTCACTAACAATGATGATCTGATAAGAAATGTCACCATATCAAAAACAATATACTCAGATCACAACATAATTGAGGTTCAGACATGTATGCGTGGAGCCCCAGACCGACATAATGAGACTAGTCACGAGAGAGCATTCACCAAATTCAACTTCAATAACAAAAACAAAGTGGGACCAAGTAAACCAAATCCTAACTGATATAAGCTGGGAAGATATACTAAGCAACACAGACCCCAACTTATGCCTAGAACAGATTAACTCGGTGGCGCTCGATGTATGCGCAAGGCTTATTCCTGTAAGAAAAAGGAGGAGTAGATGTAAAATAGAAAGGGACAGGCGCTCCCTTTACAGGCTATGGAAAAGAATAACAGGGCGGCTAAAAGAGGTCAATATATCTGAAATGCGTAGGGAGACACTGGTCAGAGAAATAGCAAGCATCGAACTTAAGCTAAAGGAATCTTATAGGAGTCAGGAATCGCGGGAAGAACTAAAAGCCATAAATGAAATCGAAAGAAACCCAAAGTATTTCTTCTCCTATGCCAAATCAAAGTCGAGAACAACGTCCAGTATTGGGCCCCTACTTAAACAAGATGGGTCCTACACAGATGACAGCAAGGAAATGAGTGAGCTACTCAAGTCCCAATATGACTCAGTTTTTAGCAAGCCGCTAACCAGACAGAGTCGAAGATCAAAATGAATTTTTTATGAGAGAGCCACAGAATTTGGTTAACACAAGCCTATTTGATGTTATCCTGACGCCAAATGACTTCGAACAGGTGATAAATGACATGCCCATGCACTCTGCCCCAGGGCCAGACTCATGGAACTCAGTGTTCATCAAGAACTGCAAGAAGCCCCTATCACGAGCTTTTCCATCCTATGGAGAGGGAGCATGGACACAGGGGTCGTCCCACAGTTACTAAAAACAACAGACATAGCCCCACTCCACAAAGGGGGCAGTAAAGCAACAGCAAAGAACTACAGACCGATAGCACTAACATCCCATATCATAAAATTCTTTGAAAGGGTCCTAAGAAGCAAGATCACCACCCATCTAGAAACCCATCAGTTACACAACCCAGGGCAACATGGGTTTAGAACAGGTCGCTCCTGTCTGTCTCAATTATTGGATCACTACGACAAGGTCCTAGATGCACTAGAATACAAAAAGAATGCAGATGTAATATATACAGACTTTGCAAAAGCCTTCGACAAGTGTGACCATGGCGTAATAGCGCACAAAATGCGTGCTAAAGGAATAACGGGAAAAGTCGGTCGATGGATCTATAATTTCCTCACTAACAGAACACAGAGTAGTCGTCAACAGAGTAAAGTCCGAGACAGCTACGGTGAAAAGCTCTGTTCCACAAGGCACAGTACCTGCACCCATCTTGTTCCTCATCCTCATATCTGACAAGACAAGGATGTCAGTCACACCACCGTGTCTTCCTTTGCAGATGACACCCGAATCTGCATGACAGTGTCTTCCATTGCAGACACTGCAAGGCTCCAGGCGGACATCAACCAAATCTTCAGTGGGCTGCAGAAAACAATATGAAGTTTAACGATGAGAAATTTCAATTACTCAGATATGGCAAACACGAGGAAATTAAATCGTCATCAGAGTACAAAACAAATTCTGGCCACAAAATAGAGCGAAACACCAACGTGAAAGACCTGGGAGTGATCATGTCGGAGGATCTCACCTTCAAGGACCATAACATTGTATCAATCGCATCTGCTAGAAAAATGACAGGATGGATAATGAGAACCTTCAAAACTAGGGAGGCCAAGCTCATGATAACACTCTTCAGGTCACTTGTTTTGTCTAGGCTGGAATATTGCTGCACACTTACAGCACCTTTCAAGGCAGGTGAAATTGCTGACCTAGAAAATGTACAGAGAACCTTCACAGCGCGCATAACGGAGATAAAACACCTCAATTACTGGGAGCGCTTGAGGTTCCTGAACCTGTATTCCCTGAACGCAGGCGGAGAGATACATGATTATATACACCTGGAAAATCCTAGAGGGACTAGTACCGAACTTGCACACGAAAATCACTCGCTACGAAAGCAAAAGACTTGGCAGACGATGCAACATCCCCCAATGAAAAGCAGGGGTGTCACTAGCACGTTAAGAGACCATACAATAAGTGTCAGGGGCCAGAGACTGTTCAACTGCCTCCCAGCATATATAAGGGGGATTAACAACAGACCCCTGGCAGTCTTCAAGCTGGCACTGGACAAGCACCTAAAGTCGGTTCCTGACCATCCGGGCTGTGGCTCGTACGTTGGTTTGCGTTCAGCCAACAGTAACAGCCTGGTTGATCAGGCTCTGATCCTCCAAGAGGCTTGGTCACAGACCGGGCCGCGGGGGCGTTGACCTCCGGAACTCTCTCCAGGTAAACTCCAGGTATGTTAAAATGATTAGTGGCTATAGTGACAATTCTTTCTTC